GAACTCAGGACAAATTAGCTCTGAATAAAATCTATTTTGCACCTCATCGTGCCTTGCCTCTATCACGACTTCTGGACACAACACAGTACTTTGTAATTTCTGTCTCACCCTCCATTACCCATCTGTATACTGTCCCAATCAAATAACCACCGACCTGGTCAACAAATAACATACGTTGGACTGAAATAAACATCCTGCAACATCCAATCCAACATCCTTCAACCTCATCACCCAAATCAAATGAGTCATCACCATACCCCAGCCAGTCCAGTACACAGACGGAAGGGTCGCCAATCAGTTGCAGGGTGTACTTTGATGCAATTACGCTCTTCTCTCATGATGGGATGATGGCTTTCCTGCAAGGATTCCTTGGAGGTCTGAGGTCAAAAAGTTAAAGCATGACCGAAGACTAATAATAATGAGATGCTTCTCGTTTTAGCTATAAAATGTCTTGCACAACTCATTTAATTAGTTACTTAAAAAAAAAAAAAAATTACACATTTCTTTTGGGATACACACATGTAAACACAGACACACACACACAGACACGCACAGAGACAGACAGACAGACAGAAAGACAGAGAGAGAGAGAGAGAGAGACAGACAGACAGACAGACAGACAGACAGACAAATAGACCTATAGAACATAATATTGCTGTGCTGCCATCATGTGGACTGAACTGTGCTTTGAGTGATCGTTATTCTAGTTTCAAATTAACATACTATAAGTCAACTTTACAAAAAACGGTCAGAAATGTTGATCATACCACAAATGATTTTCATTTTTAGCTTTTTATTTATCGCGCAACATAAAACAATATTGTGGGTTGTACCACATACACTATGTATTCACATAATACACCATACAGCTACAAAGAGAGACTGAACAAAAACAAAACAACTTTTTTACATACTGCATACTTGACATGAAAAAATAGAACCAAGAACAATCTTTGAACTCAAAAAGGAATGTAGCTGCCAGTTGTGATGTTTTGTTTGTTTTCTGTTTATTTGGGGCAGGATTTAAGCTTGAGCCCAGCTTGAGAACTGAGAGCGGGGTATAAATCGTGATAATATTTGTGTGTGTGTTTGTGAGAAAGAGAAAGGGGGACAGACAGGGGGGAGGGAGAGAGGGGGGGGGGGGGGGGGGGAGGAGAAAAGGAGAGAGAGATAGAAAGTATGTCAGAAAATATGTGAGATGTGTAAGCAGTTATTGAGTGTATAAGTATGTACGAAAAGAAGTGCGTGAGGGAGAAAAATAGGGTGGGAGTACACAATTGTTCCAATATTTTAACATTCTCCCCTCACCATTAAAATGTACAGCATACCCAAAACAGTCATGTTTAATAGAATAGCGTCCGGCACATACACTGCAACAAGTTTTCAATTAAGATAACAGTCTGTTCACTTCAATATAATATGATAATTCAATCCCCATACCAGTTAAAAGTACCTTATGGGGACGAGGATTAATAAAAGTGTATGTATGAACTGTGTGAGTGCTTCAATTCAAGAGTTGTAATATTTTTTTTTTCACTGCCTTGAACATGAATGGGAAATTCCCATGAGATCAGCACCGGAGCAGTTCCCCATCCATTGAAACTGACATATTTAAAGAAATAGTTTCTCTTATCATTCTAAGAGCTCTAAAAAATATCAATGATATAACCCCCCCACACACACTATTCCCCCCGGGGGGGGGGGCTCCATAGCACCAGCCTCCTTTTGAGCATTTTTCTGTTATTTCCATCATAGAAATCTACAAAATTCATCTGAAGAATATATGATCAGCACCCATTATTACATAGATCATAAATATGAGTGAATCATTATAACTGTGTGTGAATCATGCATTGTTGTTATTAAAGGGGGAGTTTGTTCTAACGGTGAGAATAGAATGCAATTGAAACAGGATCATGAGTAGTTGTGAGACAAAGGAACAGGCGTATTTTCCCCCAGTCCCTAAGTTAGTCAAAGTCCTGTTGGTCATGTCTGTGACAATCTATGACAATTAACAAAATACAATATTACAAACTAAACTACCAGGTATTATCTGGTGTCTTCCAGTAATGCACTGTACCTTCAGTCTGGTACTACAAGTGTTAAGTTGTCATGGTTTTTCATTACGGTTACATCCTTTACTACTGTTATAATCACTATCATTGATAATAATAACCAACAACCACATTAAAAATGAGTTACGGTGGTGGCAACCTCTCACCTAATAGTCTAACACAATGGACAAGATAGATTGCTGGGGCTACACCTCACCTCTGTCACTAGAGTTCTCTCACACATTTCTGATGACTTTGATTCTGCACCTGTTTGATTCTCGTGTTAAAAAAACTAAAATACGTTGGGCTCTATTCAATCCATATCGTTGAAGTGTTACAGATTTCGTAATAGAAATGTAAAGGTAATTTCCGATTGAGCCGACATATGAAGCGTTTAGCGTGAATGCCGTCTCCTCCAACACGGGGACATTACATTTAAATTTCAATAGGCTTTTACCACTGAATTTCCACGATACGGATTGAATACAGAGCCCTTTGTTTCTCATTGGTTCTCAGAGTGGATACCTAGATATCATACTCAGGTTTATAAGCGGCCTGATTACTGATTAGGTCAATCTCTTCTCACAAAGGGGGACTGGTTGGTTACTGTCAGAGGTATCGTGTAGTACAGTACTTGAAATCCAGACAGCAGTATTGAGTATACATCTACAGACACAACAACACATTGGATATCACTGTGTTGCTTTCTGCTGCTAAAGGCTGTCTGACAAACTGACTGGACTTAAAAGCCTGGAATCATTCATGATTTAGTCATTATCCCTCACCAGTTAAATAATCTTACCTAAATATTTTAAATATTTACATTTTTTATCTCTCCCCAAAAAACACACAAAAAAACACAAACCTAAAAAACGAAGCTTCAAGTTGTCAATAATCTGTTATTTTTCTTTCTCATTAAAATCAAGATTAAAAGTGCTTTTATAAAATATTTTCTTCTGTATGTACAATTTGTATTAGCTAAAAAATAAAAAAAATAAAAAAAACAATCATAATCATTATCATGTAATAAATAAGAATACAAAAGTGGATTAAAATGAGTGTGTAGATAAGGGAGCACACAGGGAAGCTGTGGACTAATGTTTATCATGTTCCTCTGTCCTCAGTGGTGCCTGTGTGTGTGTTCGTAGCGTTTTGCAACCATAACCAGTGTCTCTGCAATGTTGAGGTATAGAGAGCTCTATATCGACAACTTCATAAGCACCAGGGTTTTTCATCTCAGAAGTGAGCACCAAGCAGGCTCTGGTTCTCACACGCACGCACGCACACACACACACACACAAATCTAAGAGCTGGATACAACATGCAGCGCTGCACTGAGTGAGAGGCCTCTCTAACAGGCTGAGGAGGATCTTAGTGCAAGATGTGGAAAAAATATTCACAACCTTGTAGCCCAGTCCAGTATGGTGCACTTTAGATTGAGACAGCTAGGGTTCAACCCACTGACTGCAACACTTGATGACTAAGGGCCAATGCAGAGGCAGCCATGATTGATGAATAAGGTTTTACTGGCTCTGTTGTGACAATGTGTGCATAGAGACAAACCTAGCTCTGCTTCAAAACAACTAACCGCACCATGCAGAAGCAGGACTCACTGACTGAGCCCTTTGTGTGTCAACATGTGTAGAGAAAGCACCAGTGTGTGTTTAGGAGTGCATTTCTGTCCACACACTATTCCCATCAATGTCTCCGGTTTCAGTGTAAAGGCCTTGCGTGGCCCGTGCTGCCTGTGGTCATTGGAAGGACCAGACTTTGGCGGCCATGCTTCGGTGGTTTAAAGCAGTAAGGCATTGCTCTGTGCTGGCTGGATGACAAGAGCTTTGTGTGTGTGCATGTGTCTGTGTGTATCAGTGCACCATTTTACAGGGGCTTACAGGTGAGCCATAGAACTGGAGGGATAGATCTCTCAACCAACACCTGAAGGATGATGAGGACTTCTAGTGCCTGTTGTTCTACTCACTCTACGTCTATGCTATAAAAGCACCCTTCCTTATATTCAGCATCTAGTGCCATGAAGAGGAGAGAAATGGAGAGACTGACATCATCCCTGTGGAAGGGATGAAGATCAACATGAAGCACCAATAGAGTGAGACGGATCGGTAGGGTGAGAGTAAAAATGGAGAGAGAAGAACCCTTCTCTTCACAGCAAGGCAGACAGGACAGGATTTTAAAAAGGCATGACTTTGGGGACGTTACTAAAAACCGGATTGTTCAGAGACACTCTTTTGGTAATGATTAATGATTAAAACGTTTAGATTTCTATGTTGGAAAGACTGTCTTGAGGACCCTTGCCATGCTGAGAAAGGCCATTCTCCAAGTACAGTTACAAAAATGTCAACGGCCAAAGAAAAACAACAAAGAAATGAGCAGATTTCCAGAAATATGGGAAAAAATAAAGATCGACTGAGAGACAGAACCCCTCGGTAAAAGACAAAAACAAAACCGATCACATCATTAATAACAACATTAATGACAAAACAACCATATCAACAAAAAACTAATCAAATCAGCATCTTCATAATCATAATAATAACAATACCTGTAATAACAACATTGACAGTAACAATAGCAATCGTAATAATATTGATAATAATAGTAATAATTAGGAGGATCATTAAAATTCTATGAAGAAGGAGAAGCGATGGAGTCCCCCCGCGGAGGAGAGAGGAAGAGCACCACAGGCAGTGTGTCTGTATGGTCCAGAATCCCAAACTGCTGCCTGACATGAGGTAAAAAACAAACAAAACAAAAAGAGGAATCAAACCAGTAGTCCCCCTCCTTCCAGGCCAGAGGGCCAGAGGGAGGAAACAGAGCAGGAAGAGAAGGATGGAGAAAGACACAGGACTAAAGGAGGGGCTGAGACACTCATCCCTGGCCTGCTCAGCCCTCTCTCCCTCCACCAGTCTGTGTCCATCTGTCCATCCATCCTCACACAAAGTGGCTGTAGGGCCCGGTGAGGGTGGTAAAGGCGTAGGGGGACACAGTGACCGTGGAGGTGGTGTGTTGGGTGGGGGCCAGCCGTGTCACCGGCCCCTCTCTCTTGTCCGTGGTCTGGCCAGGCCCCGGGCTGGCCCCTGCTGCCGTGGCCCCCAACTTGCGTTTCTTTCCAGGTTTGATGTCGTCGTAGGGCAGCCCCAGTAGAGCTGCCTCCTGCTGCCTCTCTCTAGCCCGCTCCGCCAGCATCTTCATCTTGGCCTCCCAGAGCAACTGGCCGTGGCAGGGCTGGTTCATGTTCTTGTGCTGGTAGAACACCAGGGAGATGCGGGTGGGGTGAGAGCGGTCGGGCCTCTTGAGCGGTGTGGTGGCGTGCAGCTCGCGCCGGGCGCACTCAATCAGGATGGACCCGTGGGCGGGCGCCACCGCCACCCCTCCGATGCTGGGGTCCAGGAAGTTATGCTCGCTGTCCGACCACCTCTCTTCCTCTTCGAGGTTGCGAGGGGTCTCAGCCTGGGACTGTCCAGCCGACTGCTGTAGGGCATCGGGGAACAAGCGTCCCTCTGGGGCCGGGGACGGTGTACTTGCCATAGAGCCTCCGGAAGACTTCCAGGCCTTCTCCTGGAGCCCTAAGGGGGTCGAGCCCCAACTCTCGCCCGCCTTGGACCACATCTTGTCGGGGAAGCCTCCGGTGGGACTGGGGCTGTAACCAGCAGGAACCATGCCTATGGGCCAAGGCTGAGGGCTGGGAACAGGGCTGTCCCAGTGGCGGGGGGTGCCGGGGTGTGGGGAGGGAGAGGGTGATGGGGGTACCTTTATGGAGGGGGACGGGGAGGGAGCAGGGGAGGCCATGGGGGTGTTCGGGCCAGGGTAAGAGTTCCACTGCTGGGAGTATGGGGAGGGCTGTTGTGGGGGATGCTGATACTGCTCTTGGAGGTATGGGGACTGGAAAGTCTGGTGAGGTCCCTGCTGGTGGAACTGCTGCTTGTCTGAAGTGAAGGGAGCCTCCGGGGGGCCTGGGGATTGGAGGTTGCCTTCCCAGCTGCTGGGCACCATACTGCCGTTTGGCTTGTGCCCAGGCCAGGGCCCTCCAGCAGCGCCAGGCTGTGGGGTGGTGCCGGGACAGCTCTGGGCATTGCCCCCCTCATAAACTGGCATATCCATGGGCTCCTGCTTGATGACGGGGGTCCCTCTGTGGGAGGGCTCTGAGGAGACTGAGGAGGGACGTGATTGGTTGTAGTCAGGTTGGTGAGGGTGTGGGTAAGCGCTGCGTTGGTGTTGGTTGGCTGGGTCTCCATGCTGCTGCTGCAGCTCGAGGTGGCCTGGGCCCGAGTAGGTGTGAGCCAGCCTGGCCTGGAGGCTCTGAACGTCTGGCTTCTTGTCCAAAGGACTGGGGGAAAACTTGGGCCCCGTGTGGTGCCAGGAGCCTTTGCGGCCCTCGTAAGTGAGCTCATGGGGGAAAAGTGTGCTAGGGTTGGGGGGGTAGTTGTAGTAGCCATAGGGCAGTGCTGTCGGTAGATTAGGGCGGTAGCCGTTGACAGGGCCTGGTGGAGGTGGAAGTGCAGGGGGCTGGCCATTGGAAGGGAGGCCTCCCCGTGCGTAGTAGCCAGTGTGGGAGGGGTAGACGTGGTAGGGGTCGGCAGCCTGGGCAGGGTAGCCCTCCAGCTGACCGTTGAAGGGCTGGAAGCGCTGGTCCACTGGCTCCTTCTTTATGGTGGGCTTCACCTCCTGCTTAGGGATCGCTGTGGAGGAGAGTAGATAGAGGAGAGAGGGGTGATAAGATGTGTAAGATCACGTGGTTTTAATGGTTCACTTGGTTGGAGTTTTGGGATTGATGGGTTTGATTCCTGCATGGGCTGCATACTGTAAGCTGACTAGCTATAGGTGTTAACTGTACTGTAGGTCCGTTTGGATTAAAGCATCTACTCTAGGGCTCCCCAACTGGTAGACCATGGGCGATTTATTATATCTGTTTGGGCTTCTTGCGGTCAATTTGCAGTCTACAAATTATTTGTAATTATGTTCCATCCCCCTGACCATCCGTTCAAGAAAGAATCGGCCCGCGGCTGAATCTAGTTGATGATTTCTGATCTACTCTATGACCATACTATTATCATCATACTGTAAAGCAGGTTGGAGTTTTGCTTACACCAGAGTTATGGGTTTATTATTATCATAAACCTCACAACACTCATGAAGCGACATGTTTCTAGTAGAGGTCATCTCACCTTTATTGCCATGCTGTCTGACAGGGGAGCCAGCGTGCCGGACCTCCATCTTGATCACGGATTTCTCCAGCGTCTCCGTGGACGTTGGCGGCTGCTGCTTGCCCTTCTTCTTCTCAGAGGCTCGGTTCTTAGCGTCCAGGCGGCGCTGGCGGCAGGATTTGGCGCGCTCGGGCAGCTTGCGGACCTCGCGGCGGAAGTTGTTGAGCACCTGAATGGCGCCTGTGCGCATCTTTTGGCGCTGGCCCTCCTCGCTGCCGAACTCGTCTGTGAGGGCGGCCTTGTAGAGGGGAAGTACGTGGAGCTGCTCGTCCTCTGGGATCTCCCCCACCGTACGATTGTCCTCTTTAGTCAGCGTGCACACCTGGGGGTGGACAGAGGTGTGTTAGTGTGGGACTCCTACTGTGTGCCCATTCACCATGTAGAGAGAGAGACAGGGTAACTGTCGTACAGTTGTCCTGCACACCTTTCCAGTTTTATTAGTCGTATGTATGGGATACACTGTCCAACAAAATGCTTACTTGCAGGATCCTTTTCGACAATGCAACAATAAGAAATAATAATGTCCACACAAAGAGAAGGAAAGAGCGATAAAGAAGATTGACAAGAGAGTGACGAAGAGAGTGGCAGAAAGAGAGAAAGCGAGAGAGATAGAGGTAGGGCTGTGTGTCGTACCACAGTGCAGCCGTTGTAGAGGTTGTGCTGGTCCTTGTGAGCGTGGGCACAGAAGTCCATGCAGGCGGTGACACCGGAGAACGGCCGGCCTTCCTTCAGACCCAACCTGCAGTCTGGAGCTTTCGTCTCATTCTGACACTGAGTGACAGGAGAGGGGTCACAAGTTGGGTTAGCATGGGATTACTCTACAGACCATATCTAACACTCATAGCATCCCGTGAGTTTCTATTGTGTACTTTTGGAGGGAAGTCTACAAAGTACTTCTTCAGCAGAGTGTAAAATCACTGAGGAACACAGGGAAGAGGATGGCATGTCCAAGAGCAACCTGTTACTCTATACAACATATCTTACACTCATAGCATCCTTCAGCTTGGGTTGTTTACTTTCAGAGGGACCGTCTACTATTTAGAGAGTTCTGGTGCTGTTACTTCTCAGTTGCACGTAGGTGTATACTCTTAGAAAAAAGGGTACCAAAAGGGTTCTTCGGCTGTCCCTGTAGGAGAACCCTTTTTGGTTCCAGGGTTAAACCTTTTTGGTTCCACGTTGAACCCTTTTGGGTTCCATGTTGAACCCTCTGTGGAAAGGGTCCTACATGGAACCCAAACGGGTTCTACCTGGAACCCAAACGGGTTCTATCTGGAACCAAACAAGGGTTCTTCGACAAACCCTTTTAGGTTCTAGATAGCACCTTTTTTTCTAAGAGTGTAAGTGCAGGTAGGTGATGGTGGGTGTGAAGGCAGGTGTTACCTGGTTACTGTAGGCCTGTGGGGCCAGCTGCTTGTACAGGGGAGCCACCTCAGTGGCCAGATCCTGGAAGTTATCCCTGAGTTGATCCTCCTAACATACACACAAAGACAGATCAGTATACCCTGGTAGCTCAATAACAGTGTTAGCTTAGTGTGGTGTAGTCAATAATAATAATTGTGCACAGGTGGTATGAAAGTTGTGTGTTCCATCTTGAGGCTGTAGTACTTGGCTATAAAAGCAAGGAAGGGAAGCATTTATTGTCTATGGAGGCTGCACTGCCTTTTTCAAGGCAAGTCTCAATAGTACAGATATGGTACTATACATAGTCCCTTACCTCTTGGGGGTGGTCTCCTGCCAGTCTGAACTTGCGTGGTATTTTGCTGCGGGCGTACTTGCAGCCGTTGAAGTACATGCTCCAGGAACAGCCGAAGGAGAAGGAAGCTCCACAGCTGTCAGGGTCCTTGCCTTGGCACGCACACGTACGACTGCAGGCAGGCAGGGGGAGACAAAGAGCACCAACACAGTCAGCATCACTCACAACCATCAGACACTCACAAGGTCATCTTTATCAGAATGCCTCAGTGCATTGAATATCTATTGAAAACAATAATGAAGTACTCTGCAGTCCATAAGTAGACTAACTTACTCATTTATTTTCTACTCCTACAACAGAGATTATCATGCACAGACGTTTTGGCTGAAAGCCTCCCTCAGTGTGCCATCTAAACATCTTTGCACTGCTGAGTTTACTGCTAATTTAAGAAGAATATAAGCATATTCAGCTGACTTATTCGTGGTTCTGTGAATGTCTCCTGTCACTCACTCATCGTTGAGTCCACAGCGGCGGCTAGTGGGGTTGCCGAACTTGGTGAGGGTGGCGGCGAGCTCCTTGTAGAGCTTGTCGCCTAGCGCCCGGGGCACGCCCTCCCACGCCATGATGAGGATGATGATGATGGCGTTGGGACAGTGGTGACCCGGCCGGGGACGCACCAGACACAGCAACTTCTCTATCTCACTCCCCCGACGAATCACCTGATAGGAGAGAGGGAAAGACAGAAAGGGTGGAGATGGCGAGAGAGAGAAAGGGAGAGAGAGAGAGAGGGGGTGAGATTGACACCTGTCTTCTCCACTACTCTCTCAATAGTGTATGTTTAGAAGCCATTAAACCATTAGCAGGGTGTCAAAGAGAGTGACAGTGGTGGAGACCTCCAACTGGGAGGGAGAGGGATCAGGGAGACCCCCTGCTGGACCCCCTACTGCTTTACTGTCTGGGGTGAGGCTGTGGTGTCTGTCTGCTACCATCTACTCTGCTCTACACCCACTCATTTTCACTAATGGCTCTTAGTATATAGAAGAGAAAAAAAATACACGTGTGTCTGTTGGTTTTACAATGTCTGATGAAACATTGTGTTGATAAGAAATTGTTTGTGGTTGCCTAGACTAGTATGTTGTGTCAGCCCGAGGGCCAGTCTGTTTGTGCTACTATGCTAACCCCCTGTCACTCATTGTCATGTTTGGCTTGATAATGACCACAATGGGGTTGGCAAGACCACAAACAGATCTGGGACCAGGCGTTGTGTATGGTTAGGCTTTGTTTGTTCTGTGAGAGGTAAGTTCAGTGTGTTATGTATGGGTTCTGGTACTCACCCACTTGGCGATGGGACATCCCTGAGAGCTCTTGCCTTCCCGGCCAGTGTAGATCACCTTCTCAATACGGATAGCATCTCCCTTCTCTCCATACCTGCACAGAGAGAAAGACAGCACAGTGTGAGTGTATACTGTATGTCTTACTGAACACAACAGTTTAACTGTATTGTATACTGTTCATTATAGAACGTTCACATCATGCCTATAAACACTCCTTAGCTGGGGTATATTCACTATATACCACACCCCCTCTGGCCTTATTGCTTACTAAGCAAGTAGCCTATGTGCTTCTGCATGACCAAATGTTTGGACTCCATGAGAGTTGGACGTGTCTTGTCAAACACAGAAACCACAAGCTGGCTGGCCAAGAGGAGTGTTCACAGGACGCTGTTGATATTCACAGAGGCATGACAGTAGCAGCCAAAGCTCAACATAATCTGACCAGAACATTGTTAGTCAGTGTGTCTGATGGAGAATGAAACCCAACCCTTAAGGGCCGTCCACACCAAGGATGATAATTATAATGATACACATTTGAAAAATGGTTCTAATTCAAGTGAACAGGAGCATTCATACTACAACGATAACAACAAACAGAGAGCGAAAACGAGAGCTATCGTTTGGGTCACTTTCAGAGTGATTTTTTCCCTGTCCCTCAGGTGATAAAACATTGACAACCAATCAAAAACGTTGAAGCGTTCGTTCTTGGTTTTAGGTGTGCGGGGCTGCTTGGACAGGAGGGAAGGCAGAGTGCACAGTAAAGTTGCCTGAAAAACTGGGCATGTGTGAGCATATTGGTAGCCACATTAATTATAGGAAGACTTGGGAGATTGATGATCCACGACAAACAGCGCATATCAGTATGAGAAGGCCATATTTTCTGATGGTATCTGTTAACACCGATACAACCTGACAAAATACACACTGTCACTAGCCTGCTAATGTGCCTTTCTGGAACATGTAAACTGTCAAGAAAAGTCCTATTAGCCTACTGATCCAAATGGTTGCATAATCAGGCCTAGGCTGTTGCAGTTATTTCGGCATGAATAATTGAAAACAGGACGTTTGAGCAGTTATTCAAATTAGCGTATACATCACTGCAGTTTACAGTCCTAGAGAATAATTGTGTACTCACTTGATACAATAATAAATTCCTCATTGCACTGTGTTGTTGAACCCTCGGTAGAATAATGTTATTGTCTAAAAATGTATGCGTAATCAATAGTGGAGCTTTGCGTGCCAGGGGAATGCAGAGCGCAGCCTGGAGGAATGCACAGATCTGCCATTTCATAAACTGTCAACTTTATTATTATTGCACTTAGACAGGTAAATATGTATAGCCCTACTATTTAGCTAATGAATGGCCTAATATTTAGCTTCTTACTTCGGCTACAGAACTATAGCCTTTCTCTTCCAGCTGTTCCCGTGCGCAATAGGCTATATGGCTACGGACGCAATCCTCTCCACTATTCCTCTTCTCGTGAAATCGCAGGAAAAGCTATAGGCTACAAAAGCTATAGGAGATTTATTTTGATAATGTTTTATACTAGGCCTAATAGCCTTTTCGTGGAGAGAAGCAGGCTTGCTCTTGCTAATTGCTCAAATGTAAAATAGGCCTAGGCCAAATGAACTGACTGGGAAAGTTTAGAAGAGAGAGAGTGCGTTGGTGTGATCACTTTGGCCTGTTTTGATAACATGGTTGCACTGATGCATTGCAAATGGTTGCACAGGACATACAGAAAGATGAGCACAGTGGAAAAAAAAGATCCAAACGAATTAACAACCATTAAAAAAATGGAAATCACTTGCAAACCACTTGAGCAACGAGGCAAGCAATGTCATGTAAAAGATGTGCAGGCTAAACAGCGTTTGTTGTTGCTACATTTAAATACGAGTTTCTATATTATTTTTCTTGTTCATTTAAGTGTTATTTGCAGTTGTCACTATGACAATGAACGCACCCTGAAGCACTGAATGGTCTGTGTTACCACCTTATCAATAGGCCTACAGCAAGGTTCCCCAACCGGCGGCCCACGGGCCGAATATGGTCCGCAGGTGGTTTTAATTGGCCCCCAATGTTTTTTTAGCAAAAAAATTAAGAAATATATTTTTGATTGTATTTTATTGCTGGACATAAAAGACTGTAAAAACACCAGGAATTCAGCTCCAAGTGATTTTACTTTAAGAAATCTGTTCCCAAGTATTCCCACACATAATAGAGAGACACGTGATCGTATACAAATGTAAGCAAGGTTTGAAATGTTTATGCTTTAGTCAAACATTATACCTGTTTGGGCTTCTTGCGGTCAATTTGCAATCTACAAATTATTTGTAATTATGTTCTGGCCCCCTGACCATTTGCTGAAGAAAAAATCATCCCGTGGCTGAATCAAGTTGATGATCCCTGGCCTACAGCCTGCATTAAGATGCTTTGATCAGTTGATTGACAGGTTTACTGCAGAACGATAGACTGTCCGCAGGTGAGGTTGCTCGTCAACGTTTTATAATTCATAGTTATCGTTATGGTGTGGATGGCCCTTTACTCAACCCTAAACGTAGCCCTAACCCTTATTACAACCCTAAACCTAAACCTAACCCTAACACTTACTCCAAACCTAACCCTAACTCTAAACCTAAACCTAACCGTAACCCTTGCAAGCAGTTGCATATCAACAGTTGCAGTTGATAGTTTGTTGATAGCATGACCATCTGTAGATCTATAGGGGACTATCCAAATAAAGTGTAACTGCATGAGTGTGTGTTTGCTTGGTGTATGTGTATGTGCCTGGTTACGTTCTGGCGCGTGTGTCTCTCTCTGCACAATGTGTAGAGAGATGTGGTTGGGTTAGCTACCAGCATTACTCAGATGTTCTTTCTTCCCTGTGTATCATACCTGTCATGTTGATAACGTCACCCCTGAGCGGGTCTACCATGGAGGAACACATGTGGCTCTGTCCTGAATGGGAACTCATTCACCAATCACCAGCCGGTCAAAGGGAGTGGGCTCGGCCTCCACAGGGGTGGGCCAATGGGGTCAGAGGTGGGTCAGGGGTCAGGAGGAGTCTATGGAGGGCTTTAGATCTTACGTCATCTCTCGAACAAAGAAGGCTCTCCCTCCTCTCCTCACCTATCCCCCCATCATTCCTGCTCTCTCTCAGGAGAGTGATGAGTCACTGGTCTATAGAAATAGTCCTCTTTCAATATAATGGCCAGTCACTCTCGACCCCGGTCCCCTATACAACATTGTGTGGGACCCAACCTAAGCAGCCCCCCATGTTTAGTCAGTGAAAACTCTGATCGTCATTATCGCTACCCAAAACATTCCAGCTGCCATTGAACTATTCCTGTTTTGTCAGTTGAGATTTGCGTAAGTATTAGGATATCCATTCCCTAATACAAATGTACTCTGTTTGATTCTTTCTCTCTCTCTGTCCCTTCCTCTCCTTTCTCTGTCTCTTCCTCTCATCTCTCCCTCCCTCTCTCCTTTCCTATCCTCTCTCTATGCCTAGCCCTCTTCTCTGTTCAGTCTGATCTGCTGATGCGGTTATTTCCTGTTCCTATTGGATTCTGGGTCAGGCATTCCCTGGGGACAGGATCACAGGAGTGTTAAGAGGGGGATGGAGAGGAGGGAGAGTAGGAGGACAGTAGCATTGGGGGAGAGAGAGCAAAATTGAGGGAGGCATGGAGAGAGGGAGGAAGAGAGAGAGAGTGATGCTAGCTCACAGCTGTGAGAGGGTTTGATGCCAAGACTCAGCTCGCGAGAGCCAGCAGCTCCACATAACCTCCTGCTCACAGGCAGAGGAGAGGAGAGAGGGAATGGAGAGAGAGGCAGAGGAAAGGAGAGAGGGAATGGAGAGAGAGGGAGAAGGGGAGAAAGTGGGAGAGAGGGGAGAGGGAGAAGGAGAAAGGGACAGGCGAGAAAGAGGAGAGATGGAGAAGGGGAGGGACAGGGAGAGAAAGAGGAGAGATGGAGAAGGGGAGGGACAGGGAGAGAAAGAGGAGAGATGGAGAAGGGGAGGGACAGGGAGAGAAAGAGGAGAGATGGAGAAGGGGAGGGACAGGGAGAGAAAGATGAGAGATGGAGAATGAGAGAGAGAGAGAGAGAGAGAGTGTGAAGAAGAGGACAGCTAGCTCTGCTCTAGGTGAATCAGGAGACTGCCATTGCGAGTTGTGTGGCTATAATCTAGGGGGCTAAAATCCCTGGACAAGCACACTAGCTACAAAAGTATTTTGTAGTGTTTCCTCCACCCATCTATTGACACTCAGGTTATGGCTATTTCAGGCAATTTCAGTCCATGCTCCTTTTCCCTGCCTTATCTAGAGGGAAATACTAGTATGCATCATACTACTATGGTTTTTGAGTTATTTCAGTCTATGTCAGTCTCTTCTCTAACAGGTATCAGATATGCTCCAGAAGTCTCACCTGGTCTCCATCAGCTCTCGTATGGAGGCCACAGTGGGCCCAGAGCCCAGGTGATTGTAGTACGGACCCTCATCCTTCTCCAGGATTTGCTCTGTAAGGAGGAGAGAGAGAGAGAGAGAGAGAGAGAGTTACAGACAGAGTTCACAATGCAGTCCTAATTCAACCACCATTTTTACTTTTACCACACAATAATATTTGTATGATTTGGATTAGTGCAGGACAGTTCTGTGACATTGCAGGTATCAGAAGTAGTAGTGCCCAATTATTCAGATCTAACAAGCCATGGAAACAAAGAGGAACCATAGATAGGTTGACTGAAGACAGATGTAAAGCCACACACACTTCCTGTAGCCTGTGACTGACTATGTTATGAATAGTAGTGAGCTTCTGAATGCAGGGAGAGTCTGGGTGGGGACACTACAGTAGAACCAAGGCTGTTTGAAGGAGTGAATGAGTCAGTGTGTGTGTGTGTGTGTGTGTGTGTGTGTGTGTGTGTGTGTGTGTGTGTTTGTGTTTGTGTGTGTGTGTGTGTGCGTGCGTGTAAGAAGGGAAGCTAGAGTATGAGAGAGTGTATCTGAGGTCACATTCCTCTGACAGTGCAGGGAGGAACCAAGGCAAGGCGTGGTCAGAGAGAAGCAGGAAATACTACATAGGACTACTGGCCTAAATAGTGTGTGAGAAAATAGTTGTGTGAGGGGGAGTAGTGGTTCCATGTTTGGAATCAGCAGAGTAGAGGGATGTGTAAAACTATGCTTGCTTCTCTGAGAGTGAGAGAAAGAGAGAGATTCATTGAACGAGAGGAGTGAATGAGTCAATGTGTGTGTGTGTACGTGTGTGAGGGAGTCAGGTTACACATGGGGTGTTTCGGTGTGGTGTTGACAGGGGAGTGTAAATAGGCTTCACTATGGAGACCCGTTGTCTGGCTGCCTTTTCTCTTAGTAACAGCCTTACAGCATACAGCATAGCAAGTGTTCCATGCAGCTGCTCTCTCTCTCTCTCTCTCTCTCACTCTCTCTCTCTCTCTCTCTCTCTCTCTCTCACACTCTCTCTCTCTCTCTCTCTCACTCTTACTCTCTCTCTCTCTCTCCCTCCCTATGATCCCTGGTCAAAAGCAGTGCACCAAATAGGATGCACAAATAGTAGTGCACATTTGGGAAGCAGCCCGAGAGACTGTGTCCTACTCTGTCAGAAATGTAGCCTAGACAGAGTGGCCTACTCTATGCTGTCTGTCAGCCAGACCCACACAATGGACTCTTTCTGGTGTTGTATGGTCAGACCACTGTCTCCCTCCGCACCTTGCACTGTAGCTGACTGGAGAGTAGAGGCTCGGGACACACACGCCGGCAACACACACTCCCGGCAACACACAATCCGGCAACACACACACCGGCTGGCAACACACACATTATCAGACACACTCATGAGATGTCCATAGGGAGGAGCTGGAGCAGAAGTGATTGGGCAACTTGATGTACACCTCTTTATAAACTGGGTGGTTGGAGTGCTGAATGCTGATTGGCGTTGCGTCGTGCCTAAGAACAGCCCTTAGCTGTTGTATATTGGCCAATTACCACACCCCCTCTGGCCTTATTGCTTAAATATACCTGCTGCTACCTGCTGTTTAGCAACAGTCACTGCTGTACAGTATATTTAATGTCTTCTAGTAATACTAAATGTATGGAGTAAGATGATTTCAATAAGATAGCATACATGTCTTCTATAGGAGTTTGTGTGTTTCTATACTAGATACTAGATCGTTTTCTCTTTTTATTATATACACCAAAACATTTGTGTACAGCCCACTCACTGGGAATGTAAAGCACGTGTAACTCTGGGGCCCAGCAGTGGTCGAAATGTAGCTACATTAAAACTGTCAGTTCAGCACAAACACAGACACACACTCAGACGCACTACTCACCGACACAGTCGCAGTTGGGGAACTCAGCCTGGAGGTCCTTGGCAGGTGTGTCTAGCAGGCTTTTAGTGGGCGTGTCCAGGTAGCGTAGCGGCGACTCCAGGAAGCCTTTTAGGGAGGGGTTGAGGGGGAAGCCGTCCTTAGTGGGGGTGTCATCCTCGCCCCCCTCAGAGAATAATCCAGTAGTGGAGAGGACAGCTACCTTCCCATTCGTCTCGATCTTCATGCGTTTGGGCAGCGGGGACGCGGAGGGGGAGAGAGGCATGGTGAAGGGGTCTTCAAGGACGCTGTGCTGCTGCTGCTCCAGATGGACCTCTTGGCGCAGGGAGAGAGGCAGCTGGGCCCCCTCGCGCTGCTCCTCCATGGGGCTCTCAGTGGAGGGCTGTGTGGTGGAGGTGGAGGATGCTTCACTCACACCCCCTGACACCTTCTCCTTGTCCACCTCCATGACCTGGTCTGCTGGTGGGGCTGTGGTAGAAGCTAAGGGAGTAGGGCTGCAGGGCTGGGTGGTGGTGGTGGTGCTGGATGGTGATGGTGATGCGGGCCTGGCTTGTCCTGAGTTAATGTTGGGGTGAGACTCTATCACCACGGGCTGGGCTGAGGCTGAGGCTGAGGCTGAGGGGGCCTGGTCCTGGGGCTGGATCTGAGGAGGGCAGGGCTCTGGGGCCGAGGATGAGCTGTCCCCGAACTCTGCCTCGAACTGGAGGATCAGCTCCTCAAACTTGGGGTCTAGGGAGCTGAGGCCTGGTATGGACTGAGAGGTGGTGGAGGTCTGTGTGGCTCTGACCTCCCCTGAGCTAGCCGGGGCGTCCGGGGCTGCAGGGAGAGGCTGAGGGGTTGAGACGGCTGGAGTGTTTACAGAGAAGGCAGGAGCAGTGACAGAGGGTACAATAGAAGAGTTTAAAATGGATACCTGAGTTTGGGCCGGGGCAGGGAGGCCAGCGGCAGCCTGAGTGGGGTTACTGAGGACGGGGAAGGTAGAAAAAGGGAGAGAACCTGGATGGGTGCTGGCCAGAGGCAGGGCTCCGATCATGGTGAGTGGAGACGGTTTCTGTATGGAGATCTGGCTGTGAGGCAGGAAGGTTGGCAGGGAGGCCTTCTGCTTGGTTTTCTTGATGACTATCGTCTTGGGTTTGGGGCCTGGCTGGAGCAGCATCCCCGGTTGCTGCTTGAGGAGCGGAGATGTCCCCGCCATGCTCTTCCTCCTCTTGGGCTCCTTGGGCTCCTGCTTGATGGCCACGGGGATGAGGTGGCCCTCGGGGCCCATCTGTTGGGGCCACCACTTGCGGAGGTTCTGGCAGGCCTGGGTGGGCCACGGAGGGCAGAGGCCTGGGGGGCCGGGAGGGTTAGAGAAGAGGTTCCTCTTGTGGTGAAGGTGTTGCTGCAGGGCTGTCTGGGTGGAGTAGTGGATGGCTGTGCTGCCAGCGGAGAGAGGTGGACCAGGGTACCCAGGCTGCTGCTGGCCGTTCATCAAGCCGTAGCGGCCGCCCATGTAGGCACAGGCAGAGCTCTGGTACTCCCCGGAGTCTACCTCCTGCTTGACCTGAGGCATCCCTGGTTCCTGCTTGATGTGGTGGTGTAGGATAGGCAGTTTGAAGGGGCTATTTATGTACTTTCCGCTGGAGTCCCCAAGTAGCTGTTTGAGCTCAGACATGGGGTCACCAACGCTGTGGCCACCGGATGGAGGGGCGAAGTGAGACTGCTGGGAATCTGAGTTCATCATCATCCACTGGTTCCTCTGCTCTTGGGTTCCCCCAGGGGCCTGCTGCTTTTGCCACTGCTGAGGGTGAGGGTGGGGGCTGCCTGCCTGGGTCTGCCCGGGGAAAGGCGAAGTGGAGGATGGGAGAGGGGAGGCGTGGGCCGGATGACCCTGGGACTGGGGTCTGTGCTGCTGCTCCCACGACACGGGGCTCTGCTGGGGGTACAGTCCAGGAGGGACGGATTGTGACCGTGAGGAGGACGAAGAAGAGAGGGGGCCGGGGGAGGAGGGGAGCAAGCGGTTGCCGTGCTGGAGGTGTAGAGGAGGTTGTTGGGGGTGGTGGCTTGTGGAAGAGGCCTGGGCAGGAGGGACCATGGTCTGGGGGGCGGTGGCAGACAGCTGGGTCAGGGCCTCGATGGCTATGGCCGTCTGCAGACTTACGTTCTTCTCCTTGGCGATGGAGAGGACCTGAGGGGAGCAGGGGACAAAGCCTGGGTGTTGGCCCTGTTGTTGTGGGTGAAGGGGTGGACAGGAGGGAGGGTTACCTCCATTGACATGGGGGTGAGGATGGGGGTGGGGGTGAGGGAGCTGTTGTGAGTGTGGGGGCTGTTGATGAGGCACCGTGTCGGCGGTCATCTTGGAACAGGGTGTGTTGTTGTCCTGCTCCTCCCCTGCCCCCGCCTGTTTGATCCTCTTTTCCAGCCACTCCAGGTAGTCTGGGCAGTCTGGCCCATCACAGTCACAGTTGGGGGGCTTGTGGCCGTGCCTCGCCTGGCTCAGGGCAGTCTGCAGGGCAGTCTGCAGGGTGTTCAAGTCCTCTGGGGAGCTAGCCTGGTTCCCTCCCTCTGGGGCTTGGAGCCTGGCTTGAGCCGCGGCCCCCTCAGCAGTGCCCATCTCCTGGTTAAACTTCTCATACAGCTGGGCGGTGTAGGACTGGGGCTCGGGGTTGGGGGCCAGAGAGCCCACACTCACGCTGGCTGAGAAGGCTACCAGGTTGTGTGCGTCCTCCATGTCTGCCTCGTGGACGTGCTTCCCAGGAGTCCTACCACTACTGCTCCAGCCACTGCAGGGCAGCTGCTTCTGGGGGTGGGGGGCTTTGCCCTGCCCAGGTACCCAACCCTGTCCTGGGGGAACACTCCCTGACCGATGGGGCTCCCTCTGGGGCTCCAGGCCGGCTCCACCCTCCTCATGGGTGTCACTGGGTTGCCGGCTCACTCCATTGGTCGGTTCCAGGCTCAACGAACCGCCTTCCTCGCGGCGGTCATGTGACCCAGTTTCCATCTGGTCTCCTCTTCTGGGGCCATCCACTGAACCAGTGTCCGAAGCAGTCTGAGAGAGAGAGGGAGGACAGATTAAAGAGGTTAGAGAGCAGAAAAACCAAATAGGAACTGTGCATCAAGTCGGAATAAACAATAGCAATCAATATACACAAATATATTGTTTTAACATGTTAACAACACGTTTTTATTCAGTTGATCATTTTAATATAGTATCATACTCAAACAAAGCATTCACAGAGAAGAGACAAATCAACAGATCATAATAATTATGACTGGGCACTGGCTAGAATCCATTCCTCATTTCAGGGGTCTTGGTTTGGGTTCTCGCTCTCACACACACACACACACACACACACACACACACACACACACACAGTCAGGTCAATTGGGGAATTGATTTAACTGTTTAACTGCTTCAACAGAGTGTTTCCACAATGATCAGAGTGTTGAATTCACGCTACTTACTACACACAGCAGTCAGCCCATGTAAAGGTTTACCATCCCCCCAAAGACACAAAGGATCACACAAATGATCATTTAAAAAGTAATCAAATGTACACAATTCATGGCAATTATCTCTACATATCTGTTCTACACAAGGAAGAACAAGTGAAAGGCGAAGGAGAATACTGTGAACTACGGACAGCATCCATTGCAAAGTGCATCTCTACCATTCACTTCTATAGTTACTCGTAATAAACTTGCAACTCAACTTCCGTATTTAAATGTCAACATATTACCAGTCTATAAAAGTCTATTAGCTCTCTATGTTGTCAATGACTGTCTATTAGCCAAGCAGGGTTCCTGGTTCCTGATCCTGTTGTCCTAAACCTCTCCCTCCCTCAGGCCTTTATGACAGGGGAGTATCTATCCATCTCTACAGGACTGCTGCATTCAACACCTGTCATAGCACCATGCGGTAAGACTAGACACACTCAATAAATACATGATGGGTCAACAAATGCGATAAGAATGTGTCAAGGATCTTGAGAGGAAAGATGTAGCAAAGAGTAGTGTGGTAATACCAAATCATGTGTATTGATAGTCTACGGTGACATTCTTGATGCCATTTCACAAGTGTGCGTAGTAAAATAATAGTAGAGCCTTGTATGACTCTCACTTCTATTAGAGTCCATTAGAGATAGAGCATGATGATCTCATCTGATGGTTGAAGCTGCTCATCCAATACATTAGCTGTGATGACATCAAAGCAGTGCTATTGTCAAAACACACTATATTGCTTCAAACTGCCTTCTCAACGTGACACTGACTTCAAAACAAGTTTGAAATGCAATCGATCTGTGCTTGAATCATGTATCTGCAGTGTTTTATTTCAAACCTGCATAAGCAGTGACACCCCTTAAATGGACATCATACAAGTATTGGAAGTACTGGGTCTGCTGTTTTGCTTTGTCAAAATGGGGCCCATACTAAGATTAGTTGTTTCCTATGAGTAAAACTGTGTCCATCTTTTCTGTGTGTCTACAAACTGTTTACAAACTGACAAGCATCTGACATACAAACAGGGAAGTTGATCTATTCTATGTAGTCTTATGTCACTTCCTCTTTAGAGTAATATGACACTGTCTGTCAGTGGTGTGTAGGAAACAGGTAGAACACGTCTGAAGACCATTCATTATGATTTACTGTGTGTGAGGAGGCATAACAGACAGTACAAACACAGAGTCTGTGGAATGACTTAATAATATATCTTTACCACTTCTACACCGAGACACGAATCTATGACACACTGAATATCCACATTTTATACTTTGACTTTGCCTCTGAACATCTTCAAGTCCTATTCTACAATAGCCTAAACTAAATAAGGAAGTCTTCAACATGGCACTATGGACCTACCAGAACAGGGAGTGCAGTGACATTGAGGCTATAGCAGGTGAAAGGCAAGCCCTGCTCTATGCACCAGACAGACAGACATTGATAAAGCTTGAAGTCTTGTGAGCTCAGACAGATTGAGCTCTATGAGGATTACACACTCATAATAATATCCATTCAGTATGCTGTACACACATACATACTGTATACTACACACGCATGCACACAAACACAGTTTACTGTACACACACATATAGGTGTACATAAAGGTAGGCTACACCATGACAAAAGACTGGCCATACCTAAAAGAGGAACTAGGCTGGTTTGTTGTTTGAGTTATGATCCAACAGGTCTAAGTAAAATGCAGACTTTATCACATCTATATTCACAGTGAGAACACAGCTCTCGTTTGTAGTTCCTACAGTTGGTTGACAGCTGAAGTGGACCAGACACCCTGCTTCCCCATAGTTTAAATATATTGAAATTAGCCTTTTGAAGTGTCTAATTACTGGACGGGCCGCTTGCTCAGGCCCTTTGAATTCACCTTCTGTGCCGGGAGTCTGGTGGGGGTCCCTGGGGGGATGGAGGGGGGGAACAGCCGGCCGGTGATACATGAGAGGCCCCACGTTGCCCCATCACAGACTGATCATCAGACTGAGTTTAGGGGATGGGGGGTTTGAGACAGAGTGAGTAACAACAGTTTGGAGAATTGCAATATATTGAACCAGCGTGGTCACAAAACTGCACAACCCAACAACCCATAGTCAGTCACATTGTTGTTCATCTCTTTTCCTCACAGTTGATACACTGACACACTTCCTCTATCTCTCTCTAACACATACAATAACAATTGAATCACCGGTTCACACGCCCTGCTTAAACCGAAACACTTTAACAACACAGGGATCCGCTGTACAAGCAATAACACGATCATAATGACAGTTCTCATACCCGGTCATCTGGGACTTCACAGATATATTTAGCCAAATGAGACTGTCACAAATACCTTCTCTCTCTTCATACACATTGTGTTATACACACCGCAGCACGCTTACACCTGCGGGCACCTACCACGGTGCTTCTGACAGAGCAGACCACGTGCTCCGACAACTATTAACAGCATGCGAGAGCCTACTCTTTCCTGCCAGGATACACACACACAAACGGCACGATCCGCACAACGCTTCCAATCCAAAACATCAACACGCCCAACCAGAAGAGACTGCCTAACCTGTTAGACACCATAAACTCTGAGACTAGTCCCTTTAAACAACACACAGGCAGCACGTTGCTGGCTGAACAATCAAGCCTGTCTATCCTACAACTGTACCACTACACATTCGTCCCCACCTCACGTTCCCACCTCACGTCCCCACCTCCACCAGACCAGAACAGATGCCTTCAAGGTTGACAGCACAAAGTAAAAAAGGAAGGAGGGAGGGGAGACAAAGGGGGAAGGGGGCATAAAGCCTGGGAGTAGACATAAATCCACACAGACACACGACACCCCCCTCTCTCCCTCCTTCTCTCCCTCCTCCCCTGGCTTTCCTTTCCTGCCTTGTCTGTCATCGAGAAAACGTGAAGGAGGAACCATGACAATAAAACCCAGAAAAGAGCGGAGAGCCCCACACAGCTACAGTACTTACATGGGTCTAGACGTCCTGACAGTGGTAGTGGAGAGACACAGCAGGGAGAGGAGGTAGAGGGGAGCATGCAATAGTGGTGCTAGGAGGGGAGCCACTAGCAATCTGGTGGAGCCTTTTTTTTTTTGTCAGTGCGGCACACAGGCATACAAGCACCGACGCGCACGTACACACACACGCACACACACACCTCCCCCAAACTAACGCACGCTCGCTCTCTGTCTCTTCTTACGGCCGTCACTTTCTGTTCTCTCCTTTTTCCTCTCTCATTATCTCTCTCTGCTCCTCCCTTCCCTTTTCAATATCCCTTTTCTTTCTCTTACGCTCACAGTCTGGTTCTACTTGCAGCCCCCACCTTCCCCTCTCTCGCTCTCCCTCCCTCTCCTCCCCCTCTCTCTTCTGTGTGTGCAGAGCGAGAGGCCATTATCTGAGGCACAGTGGGCACGTACGAGGGAATGGAGGAGTGTGCAGTGAGCAGAGAGAGAAAGAGAGAGCTCGGGGATGGACGCTAGCGGCAGCCCTAGAAACAGCAGCACAGTGCAGCAGAGCTGTTACTAGGCAAAGCTCTCTCTCTTTCTCTCTCTCTCTACCAGCACAATTCCTTATTGAATACTAACACTTTAAATACATAACAGTGTGTCTTGTATAACATTATGTTATATGTTTTAGTCTATCTAGTCATGTCTAGTAATTTGGTTATCTAAGAGTGGAGCGGTTTTTGAGCACGGAAGCGATGGAAACCACTAGACGCAGGCGAACGCCAATCTCAGCAGCACTCGCTGGAACATCAACAGGAAAATGAAAAAAACAACAACATTAAAATGTCCATATATGTGGTTTGAATTCGACCGATTCAGACTTTCTCCTGCGAGACAAGCTGTACGTCCATCTTTATGTCCGTTTCTGTCGTAATCCATTGGTCGTTACAAAGCCGATGACGATCTCTCTGTTCGTTTCTCTGTCTTCTACCGCAAAAATGTTAATAATAACTATGTCTTTCTTTCTCTACAGGTCTGTTACCTTCACCGGCCGCTGATGTGTCGCTCATTGCGAGGTAATACTGGGGGAAGAGGAGCAGCCTAGGACTTGTAAAGGCGAGACGAAGCATAGTGAGTCTCCCACATACCAGAGGATAGCGATGGCTTGAGATAACTTTAAAGGTGACGTTTTACACTCAATCGTTTGTAAAGCCTATAATCTTGCGAAAGAGGAAGAGAATGGATTGAATGTGATTGAGAGAGAGGAATTAAGACTAGAGAACCAGAGTCTGGGGAACTGGACAAGCAGCGGTCGATGACAGTTTGGTAACATACAGACCACAGGGATAAAGGAAGCCAGAGGGACAGTAGAGACGAGAGGAACATAGAGGGGAGAGTAAGGAGAGATGTTGAACTACAGAAATGCAACATTCACACACACATAACAACCTAGTAAGTTGTCTTATTCATGTGACTTCGGCTCTAGCGAGAGAGGAGACCATAGATAAGAGTAGAAAGAGGGGACCGAGATGGAGAAGGAGCAGCGGTCGAGAGGCTTGTTGCTTGACAGAGATCGTCCGCAGCGACAGGGTGCTACTAGAGACATCGACAAACAGCAACATCATTTGCACCAACGTCTAAGAGGACAGAAATGATTCCGCTGTCTCTCCTTCTCCATGACGTGCCTGCTTTCCCTCTCCTCCCATCTGGCTGGTTGGTCACTCTGTCCCGCCAATGTTCTCCCAACGTTATCCCCTCACCATTGCTCAGCTTTAGCACCATCATCGCTAGCTCGCTCCACATGCTACCCCTCTGACCGCCCTTCTCTGCTCCTTCTCTTCTCTCTGTCCCCTCTCTCTATCGACAGCGCTGCTGGAAGTTTGGAATCAGATTTATGCAAGAAGAGGGAAAAAAACATGGCCGACATCTCTTCTCTCCTTCATGCAGATGAGATCCTTGTCAGCTCCTGCACAGTATCGTTCTCTTATTATGAATGAGCATGTGCACTCTGCGCTGCGCATTGGCTGGATTCATTTGAGTAACCTCTCCCTCTATCTCTCTTTCACTCTCTTTTTTCGCTCCCACTTTCTCTCTCTCTTGTTCGGTTTCTGTCCCTTCCTTTCCTTCGCTCCAGGTTCATGGCAGTCAGTGTCACTCCACTGGCCCTGTTACTCACACAGTCCTCCACCACCACTGCCTGGCATACACACACACCATGGGCACACGCAACCCAAAGACAAACACGGCACAACCCAAGCCGGTGCCTAGTAGTAAAGGGAAGTGGGTTGTGTCACATCTCCAGGAAGCACCAATGAGAGAGAGAGAGAGAGAGAGAGAGAGAGAGAGAGAGCGGGGTGAGCTAGAGAGAGCTAGTGAAAGCATGTAGTTATGACATAGCCGTTACATCATCAGAATCTCACAACCTTGCTCCCACCCCGCCCGCACGGCTGCCCACCTCGCACAGGCTGGGCTGATGTCTCATATGACACAGTGTGTAGACCCCCCCCCTTACCCCAACACACACACTCTCATTCATTCACCCTCCTGACTAGCGCTCGCTCTCTCCCCCAGTGCAGTGACACAGCATTTCTTGCGCTTAGAGTAAACTTAACCCTCTCCGTTCAGCGTAACACATTCATCTGCTCAACGCCAACAAGAGAGTGTATGTACAACAAAGAAAGAAGCAAACTGTGTACCACCGCGTACCACTCGCCAGTTTTTAGAACCATAAATGCAACATGATTTGACACCTGAATACAACATGAATATGAATTCATAATATTAATTTGATTAGCCATTAACTCATGGTAATGGCTGGAGCAGAATAAGTGGAACGGTATCAAATACATCGAACACATGGTTTCCATGTGTTTGATGCCATTCAATTTACTCCGTTCCAGCCATTATTATGAGCCACTGGCCAAAATATAGATGCATTCTGTTAGTAGCAGACTACACTCCAATACTCTTGTCAGAACTATACTGTTTTTTTAAATACATTTTCTCTCACATTTATTCAAGCAAAAATAATTTTCATACAAATAATATCTTCCCAGAAAAAGAGCTATGTTATGGTAACACTGGGGTAGTTTTAGGTTAGTTCTACTGTTCTTCTGTGATAAACCACCTGGGAAGAGCAGACCAGCAGCCATGACACCTCAGTCAACAGACTCACTTATCTAGTGTGTCAAGACCACCACCTCCCTGATGAGTCCTATAGGCCCTTGTAGTCCTCACCTCAGTACGTCAGAGCCATGTCCATGTGTGGACACATAAAGGGCTTTTTTTCGGACACAGATTAAGCCTAGTCGTGGACACTAAAAGCATTTTCAATGTAAAATCGCCCATTGAGTTTGTTTCCAGTCCAGGACTAGGCTTAATCTGTGTCCGAAAAAAAGCCCTTTATGTGTAGGAGTGGATAAACTAACATCCACTCTTGTCAAAGTTAAATGCAAATGTGAATAATTATTTGATCTTAAATCTACCCACGATGATATAAATCTATACACATATTAGACTCATCAAAACAAAATGAGTCTATTTTACTCCCAAACCGACAGAAACGATTGTTCTGTGATCTCCTCAACAATACACCAGAGATAACTTTCCCTATGTCTCAACCACCTGCAGACACAACTGTCATGTGTACTTTGAACTCCTGTGATGATTTAAAAAAACAGAAGGGCAATTCAACACTTATGGTATGAGTACTCTATTTGAGCATGATGTGCGTGGTATGTGGTATCTCAGAAATGAAATAATCTGAGAACTAGTCAGATAATCATCAGTAGATGTGATTCCACATCTCAACTCCTCCATCTCTCTTTCTCTCTCTCTCTCCATCTCTCTTTCTTCCACACACACACACAAAGCATTGTATTGGCCTTGTAGGAGTGATGACAGAATATAGGAGTGCAGCTGGGACCGTGTGTTGTGTTCATCTCTTAGCACCATGACTAAGACGTAATGACTAATCTTTTCCTTCAAACAATCACACACACACCCCCTCACTCACACACACACAAATCAACACATGTATGCATTTACTGTATCAAGAAGGCACAGGTGGCGGATGAACCTCAAAGAGGAAAAAGATAAAATATGACAAACAGAATGTATCATTTATTTCTACAGGGTACAGAGGAAACCAGCTCTCAGTGTTGAGGAAATAGCAAGTATAAGACAGCATGTAAGCCTAGTGGCTAATGCAACCACACTCAACCCTCTCCCCTCATGTGTAGGGAGGCTTGTGTCAGAACAACCACTATGTCTTAAGTCACATCTTCTAAAACAACAGAGAGGTCTAGGGAGTATACAGTGCAAATCTTCTAAGGAGTAACATAGCCTAGGCCATATACCATCAATAGATTAGACGGTCCAGCCACCCAAATTAGATCATTGCTCTGCGTTCCTGACAGAGCAGGGCCCATCCCCCACCCTAAAGTCTTCCTGTCAGTCCCTGACCCCATCCCCCCGACCCACATTACCACATTACACACCCTACTCCCTCCCCTCCACTCTCATGCCATCAAGGTCATCTGTTCTGACACACACTTCATGTGACACATGAGAGAGCGAAAGAGAGAGAGAGAGAGACACGCATGCACGCATTGGCAGAGACACACACAGGCAGAGAGACACACACAGGCAGAGAGACACACACAGGTAGAGAGACACACACGGCAGAGAGACACACACAGGTAGAGAGACACACACAGGCAGAGAGACACACACAGGCAGAGAGACACACACAGGCAGAGAGACACGCACGGCAGAGAGACACACACGGCAGAGAGACACACACAGGCAGAGAGACACACACAGGCAGAGAGACACACACGGCAGAGAGACACACACGGCAGAGAGACACACACAGGCAGAGAGACACACACAGGCAGAGAGACACACACGGCAGAGAGACACACACAGGCAGAGAGACACACACGGCAGAGAGACACACACGGGTAGAGAGA